CCAGCTCAGGCCTCACGTGTCCCAGCCAAAGGCCTGTGTGGGCTGAAGTATGTCTTGTGTGTGTGGGTGGTTTCCAGTCCCCGGTGCTGTGGAAGGGAAAGGCCGTGGTGGCAGACCCTGGAAGACTCATGTTCCCTCTGGGGGCTCCCCAGAGCCACACCTGCCCCTTCTAAGCAGGGCAGCCCCTGGCCATCCCGAACCCCGCTTTCCCAGGACTTCCTCCAAAGCAATCTTGGTTTCTAACTTCTCCAACTCATCAACCAGCCGTCTTGCTGTTTTTCTTGTCATTTCATGTTGATGAGATAAACCCTGGTGGCCCCAGTCGGTGCCCCACCCCCAGCCACTGTGTCCCTGGTAGGGACGTTTATTTTCCACCTCACTCGGAGCGTGTGTGAAGTTGGGTGTGTGTCAGTGGGTGGCTTTGTCAGTGTGGGCATATGGCATGTTGGTGAGATGTTGTTGGTGTGAAGGGTGTGTGACTGCCTTCTGGGGCGCCTCCAAACACAGTACGGATGAGGCCCACATTAGCTCCACCTTCTAACCTGTACAAGAGGTGGGAGTGGTTTCTGGTGATGGGTGGAGGGCTTTCTAGGGGTCAGGGGAGACAGCACGCAGCTGCTGGGAGTGGTGGGGGTGGGGTGGGGTCAGGCCAATGTCTGCTACACCTGGCCCAGGTCTCAGCCGCTCCTTCCCTCCTCCGACTTGGCTGCTGACCTTCTCGGGCCCTTTGAGGTGGGTGGGCACACTCCCCAGCCCCAGCCTCCTCCAGCTCCGCCCAGGGGTCCCCAAGCAGGTTTGCTGCCCCAGGCCAGGGCGCCCAGAGCCTGACTCCCTGAAAGGAGCCCCACAACTTGGACACAGCAGCCTCCCTCGGTGGGAGGGCTTGTCTACTCTCCTGGGCTGAGACCAGGGAGGATGAGGAGGGGTCAGGGCTGCAGGGCAGCACACTGTGGGCTGAGAGTGGAAGTGGGAGGCCGAAGGGCCCCTGCAGCTGAGGAGACGCAGTTCAGACACTGACTGTGAACGGGCTCTTGGGGCCAGGAGGCAAAGGACACTGCACTGCATGCCCTGGGGAGTGTCCTTGCCTCTGAGACGGCCAGGACAGGTGGGGGGCGCCCTCCACCTGGTTCCTCTCTGTCCCCTGCCTGCCTCACGCTCCTGGTTAATGAATGGGCTTGCTTATTTGGGGGTGAATCTGAGTTTAAATACGGCTTGCTCTAGCAAGCTCTGCGGGGTCACCTGGATCCTCCTTGCATGGATGACCCCTGGGGAGGTTTTTTCTCTTTCGGTTTTCTTTCCCTGCCTAGCTGGAGCCCTGGCTCTTGGTGGTGGTAGCTGGCTCTGTCTCCTCTCTTCCTGCCCAGGGCCATTACAGCTGTGATGCCCTCTCTCTGCCTGGTCCCCCCTCCAGAAGCAGTGGCTCCTGCTTCTGATGGAGACAAGCCTACTCCTTGGCCTTGTGTTCAGGGCCCCGTTTTCCTTTGTGTCCTGTCTACACGTCTTGGTCCAATTCTCGCCTCCTCCAGGAAGCCCTCCCTGCCTACTCCAGGCCATGATGAGCTTTCTCTTCTCTGACCTGCTGTTCTTTCACGTCTCATGGGCAGGTCCAGGAGCTCCTTGCCTGGCCTGGCCCTGCCTCCCTCTCCTGGGACCCTGCTCTTCCCCTCTAGGTCACATAGAGAATGAGCCTTGAGGCGTGACAAACTCCCTGAGTCTGGGAGATTATCCTGGGAGTCAGAGAAATACAGAACGCTCAGATGCTGGTGACTGACAGGCAGGAGTTTGAATTCTAGCTCTCCCACCTTCTAGCTCTGTGACCCTGAACAAGTTACCTGGTATCTCTGTGTCTTGGTTTGTACCTTTGAGTGGGGCCAATAACTTCCACTTCCCAAAGTTGTTGTATGGATTAAACATATTTGTTTAAACTCCCAGCCCTCGGTGGTGCTCTGTAAACAGCAGCCTTACTGAGAGTGAGCCCTCCTGTCCCTGGGAGAGGGCGTGGAGGCCCAGAGAGGGGGTACCTGGGCCAGAGCTCATTCCTGGCAAAGACACGACTGGGACGCTGGACCAGAACCAGAACTGCCATCCTGTGCTCTCTCTGGGGAGCTGAGCACCCAGCCAGCCCGTCTTCCTCACACTTGGTGCCTTTCGGATACCTGTATCTCCACTCCAGCCTCTGGAGGTAGGGCTGGATGGAGCCAGCCCCACATCAGAGGAAAAGGAGCTGAGCTCCTGACGGTCCAGAAAGGACGTTCCTGACAGACAGGGGCCTGTCAGCATCAGCTAGCCGTTCCTATCAGAGATGGGAGCCCTGAAAGTGAAAAAGCTGCCCCTGCACCCACAGACCTACACACACGACACTCCTCCATCCACGCCTGTGCCTGGAGCCCTCCTCTGAGTGTAAGCTGATGTGACCAGCGGATGCTTCTAGAAGCATGAGATTTGGAACAAGAAGCTGGGATCCTGACGTGACTGCAGTGGGCTGTGGCCTCCCTCTGTGGTGGGCGAGGCTGAGGGAAGCCTTCCTCCTGCCCCCCAGCCCAAGGCCCCTGTGTGTACCCCAAATCCTAAGCAGAAAATACATCTCTTTGTGCTGCTCGTGAGCATTCAAGGGCACCTGGCGTGCAGCTGGGGGTCCTAAGGGCACATGTGTCCCATGTCCTCAGGGTCTTTGGGACTCTGTGTAACCTGGGAACAGTTTCTGGAGCTGGGATGCGGAGAGCTGGGGTGGGGCAGACCCTCCCTCTTCCTCTGGGGCCGCTTCCCTTTCTTGACCCTCTGTTATCCTCCGAGCTGAGCCCCCAAGTCTTCCTCACTCCTTCCCATCCTCCAGGCCTTTCCCAGCGCATTCCTCCTCCTCCATCCCACTCCTATCCCTGCCTTCCATCCCCTTCTCCCCGTCCCATTTCTTTCATCTTTTTCAATGTTCACCTCTCCCCCATCCCCTCCCCCCTAAGAAGTATTTAATGGATATTAAATTATTTTAAACTGACTTTTTTTTTAATAGCTTGGTGATAATGCTGACTCAGGATCATCTCACTGTTTAATATTGAATATGCAATTAATAGAGAGATGTTTAGGTTTGGCTTTCTTTTCCCCCCTTTCTGCTGCAGAGAGAATAAAAGAGCTGATTAATCTGGTTTGGGGCGAGTGTCAGCGGCCTCAGATATATGGGAGAAAGGAGATGAGGTTAGCAACTTGGCGTCGGAGAGCTATCGCCTCGGAGGCAAGTGGAGGGAGAAAAGGTTTGCCTTACAGCTCAGCACGGCCTTGGGGGCGGAGGGGTTCCCGACACCCGCTCCGGTTCTGGAGAAAACTGGCTGGACTTGGAGCTGTCTGCTCCGCACCAGAGGGGCCCGCTGCTCCTTCTCAGGGGCCTCCCTCTGTGGGGCCTTCTTCATACCACCCCCACTCCTTCTCCAGGTGGACTCTCCCCTCCTTCAAGGCCAGCTCAGGTGCCAGCTCCTCCGAAGTCTCTGGCTGCCTGACCTCGGGGACCCCTTCTCCGAGACTACTTCCTGTCGGAGCCACCTGCCTGGGACAGGGGCTCTTCGTGCATCCTGGCCCTGCTACGGGAACAGCGTGTTGCAGGTGAGTCACTGTGTGACGGGGTGACCCGGGGCCCAGGTTCTGCTGGGCCTGCCTCCTGGAGACAGTCCCTAGGAGAGGCCCCTGGCTCTGCCACGTGCCACCGAGGAGAAGCCCTGCGTGAGGCCGTGGCAGGACAGCACTCCCCTCACTGCTGGGGCAAGGACGCCTGACACTGGGTGTTTGAAGAGCCTCTGGGTGCAGAGAAGACCAATTCACTGACTGCCAGGAAACCGGCAGGAGCAAGCGGAGAACCAGGTGGGCTCTGCTCCCTTGGGTCCTTCGTACCTGAACCATCTTTACCCCTCAACTGACCCACCTTTGCTATCGGGGTCCTCAAGATGGGAAGCTCTCAGTGGGCCACAGGGAAGTGTGTCTGTGCCCTGGGACATGGGGCCCCTTCAGGCAGCACCAAGACACCAGCCGGGCCCTGTGGGTGCGAGTCGAGGCCCGGATCTAGAGGGCTGCAGGCCATGGAGGCCTTGCGCCCAGGTCAGGGCCCTGCTGGGGCCCAGGGGCAGCGGCCTAGGCTGGAGGGACCACAAGCCCCAGGGGCGGGCAGACCACCTGTGGCCACACTGCAGTTTCCTCAGGACAAGGATCTTGACTCTCTGAATTTGCAAGTAGCTTTTGTGTATTATACTTTTTGCTCTTCATTTCCTGGAAAACTTTTTGAGGGGACGGAGAGTGAGGAAGAAATTCCTCAGTGCCTGGCTGAGCTAAGAGGCCCTCCTAAGAGCAGAGGGCCCTGGCCTGGGCATGGTGTGGGCATGAGCACTGGGGCCAGAACCGAGGATGGTGGGCGCCCGGCAGAGGAAGCCAAGAGCCTGGCCTGGTCGAGCCCTCACTGGTGGAGAGGATGGAGGGGGCCTGTGTTTGTGGGCTGAGCCCATGTCCTCCTGCTCTGTCCCCTTCCAGACATCTTTCCATCCTTCTGTATGTATCACCAGGATCTTGGCCTCAGCGGTCCCATGCCCCCACGGGCGGCCCTTCTCAGATTTGCCCCTCTGGCCTGAATGTTCCCAGGGCAGGGCTGCAACCCATTTTTTCCCTCCCAGCCGGGCACCCTTTCAACTGATCAAGTCTCATCACAGTGGAGTCTCCCTTGGTAACATGGAGGTGGGCGCACCCTTTGGGGTGTCCTGAAGGGGGCAGAAGAGTGTCCCAAGACATGCCACTTGTTTACTAGCAGAAAGGAAGGAACCCCACCAACTGGCAGACCCCAATCGTCTCCCCCTTCCCCTCACTTGCCCCACACCAGTCATCCAGAGCTCCAAAGCCCTGTGTCAGCCCCCAGCCTGGAGGTCCCCAGCGGGCAGGAGGAGGTGGCAGGGAGTCGCTGTACCGCTGGGGGTGGGAGGGAGGGAGGGAGGGGTGAGGGAGGAGGGGGGCAGAGACAAGTGGGCCCTCACGTGAAGGGGGCTGGCGCAGGCAGCTACTACCTCCTCGGCTCTCGCTGTCCGCGGGCTTCACCTGGATCGGCCGGTTCATCTGCAACAGAGCACAGGGGACAGTGTTAGAGCAGGCCTGGGGGGCGGGGGGCAGACACAGCCACACCTAAAGGTATACAAGTGTTCACAGGTATATAGGTGCACAGACCACACGCACCGACGCATACACCCATGCATCCCCACACCCGCGCGGCTGCAAATGTGTGAGTCTTCATAAAGCCCCACCCATCTCCCCTCCTGTGCAGTCCCCAGGGACCCAGGATTTCAGGAGAATTTCTCTAGATTGGAGACCCTGTGGTGTCCCCCTGCCAGCTTTGAGCAGCTCTTGCTAGCCTGTGATGTCGGAATCTGAGGTCCCCACAGTGCCTCTCTGGCCAGCCCTGGTTCATTGGAGAGACAGCTGGCTTTGCCAAAATGAGCTGGTCTCTGGCCACAGACTGCCTCCTGCCCAGGCCGGGGCCTGGCAGCGAGTTTCACCCCACCCCGTGCCATCTTGGAAGTGGGCTGTGGGTCCCAGGGTGCCTGAGGTGCTGGGCCACCCAGCTCCGGGTGGGAGCAGAGCTCAGGGCTGGGGCTCCCGACTGCAGCCAGGGCTGTCCCCTGGGGTACGTGGGCTGGGCGCAGCTACTCGTCTCCTGTGGCATCTGGGTGACAGGGGGACACCCGGGCACTGCCGGACTCCCCAAGTATCCCAGTGCGGCCTCTCTCGAGGACCCGTTTCAATGCCCCGTTCAGGCCACTAGGGGTCTCTGAACTCCAAGCATCCCAGCTCGGCGGCGGCAGCCTTTAATCCTCCCTGCTGCCCAAGGCATGAGGTTGGGCTCTCCAGCCCTGAGGTCCCAAGATATTTCAAGCAATAAAAGTGGTGGGAATCACACAAATGGAATGGTACTTGGTGTCTTTGCCGGTGGTTTGCCTGCCACGCACCTCCCTTATCCCTTATCACATTTCTCTGGTAAACACAAACCCCGAGAGGCAGGCAGGCAGGTACTAACACCCCCATTTTACAGATGGAGAAGCTGAGGCAGGGCCACCAGGTGGCAGGATGACCCTGGGAACCTGGGTCTGCCAGGGCTATTTCTGGGCTTCCGTTCTGGGCTTCCGTCCTGCACCGGGTAACTTTTTGTTGCCAATCTCCCTGGTGTACAGAAGCTGGACTAGCCAGTCACAAGCTTCCTCTGGCCTTCTGGTCTAGGATTCGAAGTGAGTTTTGGCTGCGTCAAGACAACTGGGTGGGGGAGTGTGGGTGCCCGTGACTCAGCAAGGTGAAGACGAGGCCAGGGGAAGGGCAGAGCCACTGCAAGGAAGGACAGAGGCAGGAGGCAGGACACGGAAACAGAGGAGCAGAGGCACAGGTGGCCAGGGGGCAAGACAGGATGCTGGGGGTCCATCCACTGAGAGGCAGTCAGGGTGCCGTTGTTTGCCATGAGGTCCCCAGTTGGCATGCCTTATGGAGTTGAGGGAAAGAAAGGGGCTTTGTACGTAAACTCTGCCAGCAGAGGAGATCGTGGTGTGATGGAAAGCTCCAACCACAGGGAGAAGGAGGAGGGACATAATGAAGTTCCTGGCTTCATTTAGGGGGCCCTGGCTCCCCCTTAAACCCTTTCCTTTCTAGTTCTTGAGCGAAGGGTCCAGGAGGCAGAGCAGGCTTCTGGTTATGGGAGAAGGGCTCCAGGAGGGAGCCGGGGCTCTCCTGGTTTCCCGTCCAGTGCCTTTTGGGACTCAGCATCCAACCCTTTTCTAGACTGTCCCTCCCTCCTGGAACACCCCTTCCTCCTGGTCTCCCTCAAACATATGACATTTTCCTACCCCAGAATGGCCCCAACGACGGACCTGGACCCAGTTCTGGCCGTCGTATTGTCTTGGGTATATTTCTACAGCTTTCTTGTTTATGTAATTATTGTAATTCTCTGAGGTAGGGATTATTGTCTCTCTTGCCGATGAGAAGCCAAAGCTCCAAGGAGTGGCAGATCTGGGATTCAGCCCGGATGGGTAGCCCAGTGCCAACAATACAACGGCCTTCCTATATTTTATTTCATTTGACCCCAGTTACTCTGAAAGGAGGGGGCCCAGGGAGGAAGTCAGTGGGGAAAATGTCCATCTGGCAAGGGGAGTTTGGGGCCAGATTCCTGGGGCCAACAAATCAAATACATCTTCTTTAGCCTAGCCCCCCAAATCGGGCCCCCACCACCTCTAGCAGTGTAGCAATACACTGCTACACCTACAGGAACACGAGTAGCTGCTACATAGATTATATTGCTGTATTATCATAACTTTTCCTATGATGTATGCAAATAGATTATCTTTAATTTTAACCAAGGAAATGGAGTTTCAGAGAGGTTAAGAAACTAGCCCAAGGTCACACAGGTGGTCAATGGTGATATCAAGATGAACCCAGGACTCTTGACACCTGCCTACGTGTTCAGGAGATGCTGGGCACCAGGCGTGACGGGCTTGGGGATGGTCCAGGAAAGTTCAAAGTAGAAGTGTGGGGAGCAGGGGGCCGGATAGGGGATTCAGACTTCCTCAGCAAGGAGTGGGGGGAAGGTGTGGCTGAGGAGGGGCAGGCAGAGGTGTGTGAACCAGACCCAGCTGGGCTCTGCTGCTGTGGAGATGAGGGAGGCAGGCAGGCTGAGGAGAAGGCTCCATCCCTGGGGCCAGAGCATGCCCAGGCAGACCCCAAAGCTTAGGGGTGATGTCAGGAGGAAAGGCAGGGACCGCTGGGAAGCGTCCTCCCCTGGCACCTTGTTTCTGGGTCCCACAGACAGTCTTCTCTACATGAGAGCAGTTGGGGTGGTCCTGTGGATTAACAAGGGCTGGGGTAGAGCTGTTTCTGATATGATGGGGCCCATTTTCCATAGTAAATTAAACAAGACAAATGGAATCTGCCTGTGCACAGAGCTTTCCATGCCAGGGGGCGCCCCACCCTCAGGCAGCCCGCCACTGTCCAACTTGGTACCTGGGCATTCGTGAATGCTCTGCCCTAGGCTCACAGAGTTAGGCCTGATCCTCCTCAACCCCAACCCCAGGAGGCCTTCCTGACCGGGCCAGCCCTGGACAGTGCCCCCAGACCTCCTCCACGACTCAGTGCTGGGCTCCAATTTGATTGTGGGCTTCCCCAAAGCAGGGATCCAGGGTCTCGTCCAGCCTCCCACCTGCCCTCAGCCATGGGCTGGGCCCCCACGGGGTGCTCCAAACAGACTGGTGGAGGGGAAGTAAGTTGGTTCTCATGGACCTGTGGCTCCTGGGGTCATTTTTCATGTCTCATTATGATCTAGGGATGGTCAGTGTCCAGACAGCCTTTGCGGGGCTGTCAGAGAGGTGCCAGGCTAGATGGAGAGATAAAATACAGCCCCGTGCTTTCTTAATTCTCAGCAGAAATAAAGTGTCAGGCTCAGTTGAGAAGATTTCTCAGCTGGAGCAGGCTCTGTATAGATGCCTCCGGCCTGAAGGGAGATCTCCCTCCCTCAGCCAGTGTCTCTCTTCCCTGTTCCAGACTCTGGCCTTGTCCAGCCTCGCCAAGGCCTGGTTCTGCCTTGAGGAGGTGGGAGTGGACAGAGCGAGCATCTTCTGGAGACAGGAGGCTGAGCCAGGACACAGAGATGGCCAGTGAGGAAGGGACATTGAGGAAGGGGAGAGAGGATAACGGGGAGGAAGGTGGGAGGGGCAGTTGCCATCTCTGTCTTTCTTCTTCTAACTTTGCACCCTCGGACCCTGGCCATAGCCTCAGGACCACACGGGCCCCAGGGTGTCCCTTGCAGGTGAACACTGTGCCTCAAGGACACTGGAGCCCACTTCTTGGTGCCTTTCCCTTCCCCATCTCCTGCTCGTCTGTCCAGCTGTCGCTCTCAGCCACTGTATTATCCTTTCAGGAGGGCCTGGGGCTGGGGGCGGTGGGGACCTGGGCTGGGGTGCAGGCGCCTTCCTTGCTGATTCTCTTTCTGAGGTGTCATCAGAGTCCCCCGGTCTCCCTGTGGCCTTCAGCCCTGGTTGTGCCTCCAGGTGCCTGAGGTGGGGTTTGGTGCCCCAGGGCTGCCTTCCCTGGGTCAGGAAGAGCTCCCTGAAGCCGCCCTGCAGGCTTCTGGGGTCAGTCCTCCGGGGACACCACTAGCTCTTGTCGACTGTGTTTCTGCTTCCAGCCCAGGGCCCCCTCAGGGGGAGAGAGGGGTCCTGGCCCAGGATTTGGGGCCCTCCCTGCTCCCTACTACAGCAGACGGCAGGCGGGTGGCTCCTTCCCTCCCAGGCCTCTTCTGCTTGGGCTCTACCTTCCCTCCCCCTCCCCATCTCTGCCACTTTTTGCATCAACACATATCCATGCATTAAACAAGACATTCCATTAATTTCTTCATCATCATAACTTAAGCTGGGACATACCCTTTAAATATTCATTCAGCTATGAAAACTGGGCATTAAAATTTTAATAATGTCAAGCTCATTTGAACCAGGCTCCTTGGGGACGATTACGATACAATTAGAATAAATACGATGACTGAGCTGGTCCAAAGAGTTCACCTGTCCGTCCAGCGTGGCTCCCCATGGAAAGAGAGGCCTGTGGCCAGTGGGCAGACAGACAGACTGATAAACAGGCCAGCCGGCTCTTTGTTGACTCTTCTCCTCATCCCACATCCCCTCCCTCCCTTCTCTGTTCCCTGCTGCCACTTCTAGCTCTCACTGGTGTCTGCAGGTCTCTGCTACCCTCTGTGAGTCAGCGTGCAGGGGGTCCCTCCCCTATGTGGGAAGATGGCCCTGATAAACCCTGGCAGCTACAGTTACCCCTTTTCTTGTCCTTCTGGTACAACCCGGGCTGTGCTTCTGTGCGAGAGCCATGCTCCTGCCTGTGTGTTTCCTCTCCCCTCACCCACCACAAGGGGCTCCCTGAGGCTGGAGTGAGCACCCCACCAGAGCTGGGCCAGCCTGCGGAGGGGGACGCTGGTCCCTGAGTGCCCAGATGTGTTTTGCCACCAGACCGAGAAGGGCCTGTCTTTACCTGGCTTCCCTTCTGCTGTAACCACCTTCCTGAGGGCTGGCATGGAGGTTTGG